TGAGACATACGCATCTACAGGCCTGTTAACTTCCATTTCTTTGAAAACTTGAGCCACTGTCCTTCTGAACATGGGGCCACATGAGAAGAATGGAGGAAGTGACAGTTATGAAAGAGGAAAGAAGGCTTAGCAGCTCTCTAGTTTCAGGACCTGAGGTGTGCGGCTGGCCTCATGGCCTTGGCCAACAGTCTGGGTAACAGAGGTGAGCATTTCCTCTCTAGCTTTAACCAAACTATACAACAGGGAGCAAATGAGGTCAGCTGTTGTTTAAAGTGTTGATACATGGTCAGACTTCCTGAAGTATATAACAAGATGTGTGACTTAGTTTCTCTCCTTATGCCATCATACTTTTAGAGCTCACACTCCCTGTGAAGTAGGCAATCAAATACTTATGAACTATGTAAACAGATACTAAACTAGAAGATGAAGCCAAATATAACTACTCTTATGTTTGGTTTGGTTGGGCTTGCCATTATATCAAATACCATGGCCAATCAAAATCTGACTTTATTACTAGAAGTATTGTACATAATCATAATTTGTTCTATAATAGTGACAAAATTTCTATCAAGAACAGAATTCACACAAAATAAAATGGTTGACCAAACAGTTTTACACACAATTTCTGTTACATCTAGCAATCTGTTTTACAAATTTTAAGCTTTCAGGTTATCATTTTTTTCAGATTATCAATTTTTTCTTATATGCATTTTATATAGTAAAATATTTGTCTTATATGTATATATATGGAGAAAATTTTTACTCTGTATATATTCACTTTCTTATATTCATTAAATGCAAAAGAACCACATGCTGTAATATGGACAATGATTCCTTTGTTCCCTCTTGTGGTGGTTTGAATGGAGACCCTTCCCACCCCCGATACCACCACATATGTTCAAGTTTGAATGCTTCCCAGTTGATGAACTGTTTGGGAAGGATTAGTTGGCGTGGTCTTGTTGGAAGAAGTCTGTTGCTGGGGTTGGGCTTTGAGATTTTAAAAGCCCATGCCAGGCACAGTCTCTCTTTCTCTGCCTGCTGACTAAGAATCAGAATGTAAAGCCCGCAGCTACTGCTCCAGCACCACATCTGTCTGTTTCCCACCATGATGAACATGGACTAATCCTCTGAAATTGTAAGTCTCCAATTATATGCTCTTTCAAACAAATTTGCCTTGGTCATAGTGTTTCATCACAGCAATAGAATAAAATACTAAGACAGCTTTCTACAATTTTTACTCTCTTTGAATAACTGAAGATTTTTTATTTTTAAAAATTTATTTATTATTATTTATTGCAATTTATTTATTTTGTATCCCAGCTGTTGCCCCCTCTTGTCTCCTCCCATCCCACCAACCCTCTTTCTTCTCCCCCTATGCCCCTTTCCCAGTCCACTGGTAGGGAAGGTCCTCCTCCCCTTCTCTCTGACCCTAGCCTATCAGGTCTCATCACGACTGGCTGCATTGTCTTCCTCTGTGGCCTGGCAAGGATTCTCCCCCTCATGGGGAGGTGATCAAAGAGCCAGCCATTAAGTTCATGCCATATACAGCCCCTGATCTCTTTACTAGTGAACCTACTTGGAAACTGAGAAAATAAATGTATTTTGCATGTATTGGGTTGTCTGGTGTCACATTTTTAACGGCGGATCTCCACATTTGAAAAGAATGAACAAAAAGATATTGTGCACCTAGTCAGCACTAATGGATATTTTTACACAATTTTTACAGTGATTTTAATTTGCTGTTACTATATTTAATTAGATAGTTTTGGAACTGCTCATGAGGTTCCTCAGTTTTTAGCTACAAAAATTTCTACTACTAACTTTAACTAATTTCCTTAACTTTTTAAAATATACTAAAGAGTAATACTTTAAAAAATATAACTAGAAGGAAGAAACACTACTCTGTGTATGCTGAAGAGTAGATAGGCCAGGACCAACACAGCTAAGCCTATGGCTATAGAAACTTCAGAGACTCTCTGGTTAAAGGCCTTGGAAGGTGCTAGGGAAGAGTGGGAAACCCCACTGGGCTACTTTATAGTCTACTTCTGTGTTTTTTGACACAGATGAACAGGGACTGAAATTTCTCATTAATTTAATACAAGGATGGAGCAGGAAGAAAGATAATAATCTCATTGATATTCTAAGAGTACAAAGTGCATTATATCTAGAATTGTGAGTTTCTGCTATGTTTAAAAAACTAGCTGCATGGCAAATGGTGGGATCTAGAAAAGATCATCCTGAGTGAAATATCCCAGAAGGAGAAAGACAAACACCGTATATACTCACTTATATAGACCTATAAGATATAAACATAATGAAATCTATACACCTAAAAAAGATAATCAAGAGAGCGGACATGGGGTAAGATTATCAATCCTCGTTTAGAAAGACAGATGGGATGCGCATTGAACATATGACAGGAGTCTACTGAGTGCATTTGAAAGACTCTAACTAGCAGTGTTTTCAAAGCAAAGACTCATGACCAAACCTTTGGCAGAGTACAGGGAATCATAAGAAAGAAGGGGAGTTAGTCTGATGAGGAAAGGATAGGAGCTCCACAAGGACCAAATATATCTGGGCACAGGTTCTTTTCTGAGACTGACATGCAACCAAGGACCATGTATGAATGTAACCTAGAACCTCTGCTCAGATGTAGCCTGTGGTAGCTCAGTAACCAATTGGCTTCCCATAGTGTAGGGAACAAGGACTATTTCTAACAGGAACTCAATGACTGGCTCTTTGGCCTCCCAACCCCCCCAAGGGAGGAGCAGTCCTGTTAGGCCACAGAGGAGAGCTTTGCAGCCAGTCCTGAGGATACCTGATAAAACAGGATCAGATGAATGGGGAGGAGGTCCCCCCTATCAGTGGACTTGGCAAGGGGCACGGTGGAGATGAGGGAGGGAGGGAGGGACTGGGAGGGAATGAGGGATCGGGACATGGCTGGGATACAGAGTTAATAAAATGTAACTGATAAGAAAAAAATAAAATAAAAAAAAACTAGCTGCATAACAGCAACAAGGAGAAAGGCGGGGTGAGCTTGAGCAGCAGCAGGAGGTAGAAAGGGAAGAGGAGTGGGATGCACCAATGTTCAGCACTCACTTGCTCCCTGGGCCCAAGTTTCTATTGCCACAGCTCCATATTTCTTCCCAGTCCTGGCTCAAAGACTATCTTTGGCTGTGGTATTCCAACGATACCAGCCTTATGTTTTACTGCTGGCATTACAAGACTCTTTAGGGTAAAAGAGCATGATCTGATCTTCCCCAAATATGACATGAATTACAAGAAGATCTTGTTCCTGTCTATTGAGCAGACTCCATGAAGGCATCATCAGAAATATCATGAGTCAGAAATGACATCAGAAGAAGTTTACTGTGATTTTAATAGTAGAACAAATGAGAACTAACTATTGGCATTTTTTTCCATAGTTAAACAGAGAAAAAAAGATACTTGTGATGCCACCGTTGTGATTAGTGGGAAAAGCTTCAAAGCTCAGAGGAATATTCTGGGAATAGGCATCCTTCTATCTAAGACTTTACAATACATTTCAAACAAAGGAAGACCTAACTAGAACAGTACTATCTATTTTGATATCATAGGAATTCAAAGGTAGTTTAGTTATCTTGCACCTTTTTTGTTTTGTTTTTTGACACAAGGTTTCTCTGTCTGGCCTTGGCTGTCCTGGACTCACTTTGTAGGCCAGATTGGCCTTGAACTCACAGAGGTCTGCCTGCCTCTGCCTCCCTGAGTGCTGGGATTACAGGCTTGCATTACCATACCTGGCTATCTTGGAGTTCTTGTGGTCTAATAACTTAGTGCTTGCAGAGTAAGGTACACACTGCATGGCAATTAAAGTACTATAAACCCTGTAGGGTCAAAGCTTTACAACAAAAATTTGAAAAAATTGTTAAGGACTGTGCAGCAAACCATCACAGGGTTGGATTACATAGTATCCACATATGCAGACAGTTATTAAAATAAACTATGTTTTATTTCTAGAATATAAGGTTTGCTTGAATCCTACCAAAATATAGTAGTTGTTCTTTTACATTTTATATTCATGTGGTACTTTAACATGAAAGGTGTTAAAATGGCATCCACTTATGGAAGTACAGTGACAGTTGACCGAGTCCCCCTGTTCATCAAACTATTCAGGCTAGTTTGTACTACTAGAGTTTTGATTTTATTTTCATTTACAATAAAATACTACTTTTAGTGAGATCATTTTTTTCCAACCCCATTGGTTCTATTTTCTTTAATTTGATTCATAACCTATACTATATCTATTCAAGTCTTAGGTATTATTTTTAATTATTTTATGCTGATGTGTATTATTTTTAATTATTTTATGCTGATAGGTGTGCTCGAAACAAGTCAGGAGGTAACTTATTGCAATGATTTTCATCATTCTTTTCTCTTTTTTTGACACCAAGTTTCACTACTTTACAAATAACAATGATGCCACAAAGTAGTGGTAGTGAAGTCGGTAAAGACCACAAAGATGATTCTGATCCCAAGGCAACTTTCTCACTTGGCTCTAATTTGAGATATGTTTCTTGGTTTGGGGAATCTGTTATTTTGGCACTATTCTGGCCTCCTATTATTTCTTTCAGTTTACAATACTTTAGGTTTTACCTGAAAGACAGGAATCTGGTTGAAGAAAAGTTACAGAAAAATAAATGATAAATTTAATCATATGATTAACTTTTTAAAAATAGTTTTGTTTTCCTTTTTATTGGCTTTGTGATTCTTTTTCTTTCATGGCAAAGGAGGAAAAATATTAGGTAGTATGTATCTTTTAGAAAAAATAAGCTAAGGAAACTCAAATTACATAGTTCCTGTTAAGAACTAGTACAATGATTCTCTGAACATAAAGCTGTTAAATTAATTCTTATTTGCAAGTAGTAAAGATGCTCTCCGTATTAACAAGAAATTCCTGGTTATTATTATTATCACCTAGTTTCCATTCAGAAGCAGTAATGTTAGTAACAAGAAATACTTACCTTCACATCCCTGTGGATTATGTTATTATCATGACAGTAGCGCAGAGCTTCCAGTATCTGTCTCATGTAGTGGCTGTAAAATACAAGAGAAATCTGAAACTGTAAAACATTTCCACTGTTAAAAATTAATGCACAGTGTCTCTATTTCCTAACTTCCACCTTTATTTTAGCTAGCCACAGATATCTTTCATTTGAGTAGACAAGTCAGTGAGACTTAGTGAAAATGTTGACAAACTTATGTGCTTATTTAAGAAATGGAATATTCTTCAGAGCTAAGTCAAAAGAATTCCACATAATTAATAAACAGCACTGCTATACACACTAAAAAGACAAGCCTAAAAGATATTTAAAAAAACAACCTTCTAATATCTTGTTTAACTCTGTATAGCTAAACTCAATTGCTGTGAAGGAAACTGCTCAGAGCTATTGGAATGGTTCTGACTGAAGGTGTGGTGGCCTTTGCTCTGTCATTCAAATCAGCTCTCTGCCTGGTTTCCTTTTAGCCATGACGAAAATCTACAAAACCCCTACAAATGTGTCTTCTCTTTGCAACTTAATCAGGCTTTAGTTGAAGGCACTCCTGAACAAAGCAAGGCTACTGCTAGACAGCTGGTGTCTGCAGAGGCTTCCACTGAGTACAGACAAAGAACAAAGGAGGAATTAATTTTTTTCTAAGTTCTAACAGGGTCAACTAGCAACAGATCATTACATGAGTTTAAATGTTCCTTCAGTTATTGTGGGTTTATCTCTGGATGAACACATCTGAAGCTGAATATGTGGTAAGTTGAAAGTGCATTAAACACACGCTAACCTATTACCGAACATTAGAGTCTAAGCGTAGTCTGCTTTGCGTATTCTCAAAACACTCACATTCGCCCACATCATACTGCATACCACCAGCACAGGAAAACTTGAAGTGCAGTTTCTACTGACTGCATCCTTTTTATACCATCACAAATTACAAAATTGGGAAGCCGAACTAAGGCAAAGGAGGGATGCCCTCTCTTTTCATTTCGACCCTGGTAGGAATTGCTCCTCTTCAACATTTTATTGTATAGTGTTTATTAAACTTGGCTGTGCTTTCAGACAGTATATTTCTTACACTAAAACAAACAAACAGTTTAAATTAGAGCACTCTTAAATGATCTTCCAGATATGTTTATGACTTTAAACAAAACAACTGAAAGATTCCTATCAAGTTTCCTCTTCGGCATATAACTGTCTAACATGCTCGCACAAATATCCCTCTAGTCAGCATATGGATCATTTTATGTATTATAAATAGATTACAAGTTTACCTTTAAAAAATAAGAGGTAGAGGAGGGGGAAAAAAACAAACTTAAAGTAAACCAGCCTTTTTTTCCTGTATGGATCATCTCCTCAGACCTGGGCCCCACGCAGTTCTTAATGCGATGCTCTGCTGAGAATGGACATGTAAGGGCGTAATCTACAATTAAGTTTTATTTAAATCAGGGGACTTAACATTGGGGACTTTTAGTCATTCAGAGGAGACCTTGGATAAACCGTGATCACCTTAAATGGATAGTAACAAATATAAAGGTAATTTGAAACCTTCAGTAAAGTCATTATTATTATAAAGTTATTATTTAGCTTACAGTCTTGAAGGTCAATCCAGATGTCAAAATGGAAGGCTTAAATTGGGCAAAGTAGACATGTACCCACAAGAGCAGACTATTTTGGATATATAGTGCAGAGATAGCCACCTAAATTATCTTCAGCTTAAAGAAAAGTCCTAACTTCTAGCCTTGAAAACTCAGTGGATGAGCATTTTAAAATGTGAGTATCACTGTACTTCATTATTTGGCTGAATGAAGCTCAGTGACAGAAGACTTGCTTAATATGCACAAAGTTCTGGATTTAATCCCCAGCCACTAGAAAACAGGATACTTTGTTATTTGATTCAAATATGCCAACACAGCAGAATGTTAAGTCATATAAATCATTTCACGAATTATCACAGTTCATAGTTTCAGAAAACCTCAGAAATGCATATATTTACTCCCATCTTCCTGAAGAAATCAGAAAAAATGGTAATTCTATACAAAAGGAAAAAAAAAACTTTCCAATAGCCCATTTGCTTTCTCTAGAAAGAGGTGTTTTTAAGGGTAAAGAGAGATGACTCAGCTTCCTCCTGTGGTCTACAATGGGTTAAAAAGTCTAAAAATTTGCTGGGAAAAAGAGATATCTCTGAAATGTTCCTAGCTGAAGACTATGGAAGCAGGGATCTTTGAGGTGTGGATAGCTTCACGGCGAAGGTAATGTAAGCCAACCAATATTCTCAGGTATAAAACAAAGATGTTTCATGATTGAAATGCTCTCTGAAATGTGTAAATCCCACTAGTCCTAAGTACAGAATTTATTCTGGACCTGAGGTGTATTATTGGTTAAAGTAGAAAGAAGTCATGTGGGGAGCCCTTGACAGTCCAGGTCTTCCTCTACTTCAGATGGGCCTTTTGGTTGTCTTCAAAATTCAAATCATTAAGAAAGCTTCCTGGTAGGGAGATCACTCTGATGGTAAGAGCTGGAGTCAATAACCTTATGTTATCTTACTCCACAGCTCATTAGCACTGAAGGAACAGAGGCTCTCACTAACGGGGCTTTGTTATACTGCCATCTCTTATACTGTACAAAATAAGCACTGTACCAATCTGTGCTTTGTGCCATGCTTTGCCACTCTTCTTGAAACAAACAAACAAAACAGCTTTAGTCATTTCATTATTGGAGCCTCCAACTTTTGCAGTTGCACTCACTGGAATACCTTAACAGTAAATCATAGAACAAGAGAGAAGAAAGGAACATTACAAGTAACCTGACAAAACAGTCCGCACCATGAGAAGACTCTCCATATCCTGTTATTGATCTGGTATAAGAGGAAACACAGCTAATAATAACACCACTCAAGTCACCTTGCTTCCATTTTCATTGTTAGGAAGAAGAAACTTTAATAAGGTGTGTGCAAACTGCTTTCTGAATAATGTCAATTACTGGGCTATTCTTTCCCACTCTATTCTGAAGAGTTCTTTTCATAAAACCACCATTTTTGGCACAAATATAAACAGGTTAAAAAAATCAATAAGCTTTCATCCTGATATATACACAAACCCCTACCTTTTCTGTGGGTCTCAAGACTGGAGAGCCCAGAAGTCATTTCACTGCATGACATCATCTGTACAGTCTATATTGATACCCAAACTAACCGTAGCCAGGACTAAAGTTAAAGGAAAACTAAGAAAAGTTACCAAAAACCGGAGATGAGAGGAAAAGTAGTGGAACACCATGTATGCCAGGTATTCTGGCGTTATTGTGCTTCAAAAAGAAACAAAACAAAGCATAACAAAACAAAACAAATTTCCTCCCTTGAGGAAATGTTCAAAGAATGAAAATATGAATTTTCTTTATGTTGTTTTGAATAACTGCACAAAAGTCGGCTAGAGGGTATAGGGTAGAGCACTTGAGCAGCATGCAAGAGGGCTTAGGTCCAGGTCAATGCTTGGTGATAAGAAAATACACAAAAGTTTCCTTGAATTCTTTACGAAATGTGTGTATGCAAAACTCTAAGAATTCCATTTACTTTGATAAGGTGTTTTACAATAATACCACAAGAAAAATCACAGTTAACACTGGCTGTGTGGAGTGTTAGGGCATGCCTTTTACTTCGGAAGCACCAGAAAGAATGGCAATTTAAAAATTGTGATATAAGCTCAAAAATAGAGAAGTGGGGCTTAAAAATGTGCTTCAGAGAGCAGAATAAATAAGAAAAGAGGATACTTAGCTTTCATTCTACCATAAGTCAGTGATATAAGTAAATAGTATAGTCAAAATATTAAGCTTTCGTTTCCTTCTTTTCCCTAGCTCCAAGAGTACAAAAAAAAAAAAAATCAGCTATCCCACACTAAGAATATTCTTGTTCTGTGCAACAGTCACATCCACTTCATCTTAGACACTGGGGCCCGTGCTCCTCAGCCAATGCATATGGGGCTAGAAGTTGTATTAAGAAACTTAGTTGTTCCCAACTGTGTTCTAGGATGTTATAGTTATAAAAGGGATGATAGGAAAGTTATAATCACTTGATGTAACTGTACTTCAAATGACCACACATGTTAATAAATCCTTGTAGGTTTGAGCTCTTCATATTGTGGCCAGTGACTGAGGAGGGGGAGCGGCTGCTTTAAGTCATGTATCAAATCAGTAACCTGCCAGTCCCTAATTATGCTGTGACTGAATACAGCCAAAGCAGAAAGCTGTATTTCTTTAGGTCTATAAGCTAGTGGTATAATGCATGCATAGCTACTATCATTTTTCATATTTACTTCTCTTTTGAGTCATTAGGTTTTTATGACTACTGCTTCACTTAGTACAATAGTCATCGCTCAGTTGAGAGACCACATCTGGCCTGAAGCAACATATTCAGCAGAAAAATGGTGCTTTTAGTTTTGCTCCTCTTGCTCTTTTATGCTTTTCTTAGATTAACTGGTCACATAATAATCTCATATCGCTAGAAAGCCAAACGAAGAACTAATGAGGTACAGTCTACCAAAGCTGAGCGTCAAATAATATCCCCAAGCTTAATTCTACATGGTCCCTCGGCTACCAAATCTCTTTTTGTAGAAATGCATCAGCAATCAGTAAAATAGGAGCATTTGTGTGCAAAAGCAGAGCTATGTTAACAGAGCTAGTGTTTGCCATTCATTGCAGAATTCTACGTACTACCAGCTTCTACCACACATACTGAAGCAGCTATGCTATCTGCAGAGACACCAGCAGTATGCCTGCAGGCACATTTCCTCTGATTTCTTGGTCATTTTCTTCTTTTATTTCCAGTTTACTTCTGGGGAGTAGATGTAGTTACATACCTGGCTACAGCTTCACTGTATACAAAACCAGCATCTGCTCGCTTTACGATTTCAAAACACAGATCTGCTCCATCCATACTGCACAGAAATGCAAAAAAAAAAAAAAGAGTATTAGAAAAGAGAAACTTCCAAGACAACATTCAAAGTGAACACACCATTGTTGGGAGCTGATTGACTATTGATGAAAAACCTTCTTTCAATGAAAAGCATACCAACTGTAGAGGGCATTATAACCACCAGTTGACAATCTACAGAAAAAAAAAAAAAACTTTTAGGGAGATTAAGCCAATGGCAGTATCAAATAATACAAATAACACAGTAATAACACAGTCTCCAAAGGGAGCAACTCTCGTGGTGATGAGTGTAATTTTTGAATTACATCTCCAAATTCTTTATGTAAAATAATATACTATTTTAAGAATATAAAGCTTTAAACATTTTGCAAAGTTATCATCAATAATGGGAAATGTAAATTACATGCTATGAAAAGAAAAAAAACAATAAGCCAATAAAGAATGTATTTATTTTACCTTCCGTTACCCAAATCAATTGCTACAGACATATTCCAACACATTGATGTGTTGATAATACCCTGTTAATACCTTGCCCTAAAATTTAAAATAGTTCTCATTGTCTCACCTGGTAGGTGAGTAGGTGAGATTGCTTTGACCTAATCTGCTGAATGACTTTGTAAGAAAATGGACTTGTACATAGACTAATCTTATTACTGTTTCTTCAAATTTTTTAAATTAAAAATAGACTCTTCTCTCATACAATACATTTCAATAACAGTTTCTCCTTCCTTCCTCCACCCCTTCTAGCTGGCCCTCTCATTTCCACAGGTTCATCCCCCCTCTGTTTCCTTTCAGAAAACAGCCTCTTTTATTATTATTATTAGTTTCTTTCTTTTTTTTAAATTTTTTATTAATTACACTTTATTCATTTTGTATCCCCCCATAAGTCCCTCCCTCCTCCCCTCCCGATCCCACCCTCCCTCCCCTTTCTGCATGCGTGCCACTCCCTAAGTCCACTGATAGGGGAGGTTCTCCTCTCCTTTCTGATCTTAGTCCATCAGTTGTCATCAAAACTGGCTGCATTGTCCTCTACTGTGGCCTGGTAAGGCTGCTCCCCCCTCAGGGAGAGGTGATCAACAAGCAGACTAATCAGATTATGTCAGAGGCAGTCCCTCTTCCCATTACTATGTAACCCACTTGGACACTGAACTGCCATGGGCTACATCTGTGCAGGGGTTCTAGGTTATCTCCACTAATAGTCCTTGGTTGGAGTATGAGTCTCTGGGAAGTTCCCTGTGTTCAAATTATCGTGTTCTGTTGCTCTCCTTGTGGAGTTCCCGTCCCCTCCAGCTCTTACTATTTCCCACTTCTTACATTAAATTCCATTCACTCTGCCCATCAATTGGCCATCAGGCTTAGCATCTGCTTTGACAGTCTATACTGCAGAGGCTTTCAGAGGCCCTCTGTGGCAGGTTCCAAGGTTGTTTCCTGTTTTCTTCTGGCTTTCAGAGGCCCTCTGTAGCAGGTTCCTAGGTTGTTTCCTGTTTTCTTTTTCTTCTGATGTCCATCCTCTTTGCCTTTCAGGATGGGGATTGAACATTTTAGTTAGGGTCCTCTCTTTTACTTAGTTTGTTTAGCTGTACAGATTTTAGTGGGTTTATTCTATGTTGTATGTTTATATGAGTGAGTATATACCATGCGTGTCTTTTTGCTTCTGGGACAACTCACTCAGGATGATCCTTTCCAGGTCCCACCATTTACCTGCAAATTTCATGATTTCCTTATTTTTCATTGCTGAGTAATACTCCATTGTATAGATGTACCACAGTTTCTGCATCCATTCTTCAGTTGAGGGGCATCTGGGTTGTTTCCAGCTTCTGGCTATTACAAATAAAGCTGCTACAAACATGGTTGAGCAAATGTCCTTTTTGTGTACTTGCGCCTCTTTTGGGTATATGCCTAGGAGTGGTATGGCTGGATCTTGAGGAAGCGCTATTCCTAGTTGTCTGAGAAAGCGCCAGATTGATTTCCAGAGTGGTTGTACCAGTTTACATTCCCACCAGCAGTGGAGAAGGGTTCCCCTTTCTCCACAACCTCTCCAGCATGTGTTGTCCCTTGAGTTTTTCATCTTGGCCATTCTGATGAGTGTAAGGTAAAATCTCAGGGTTGTTTTGATTTGCATTTCCCTAATGGCTAATGAGGTTGAGCATTTCTTTAAGTGCTTCTCTGCCATTCTATATTCCTCTACAGAGAATTCTCTCTTTAGCTCTGTTTCCCATTTTTTAAGTGGATTACTTGGTTTGTTGCTTTTCAGCTTGTTTAGTTCTTTATATATATTGGATATGAGTCCTCTGTCAGATAGAGGGTTGGTGATGATTCTTTCCCAATCTGTAGGCAGTCGCTTTGTTTTGATGATGGTGTCCTTTGCTTTACAGAAGCTTTTCAATTTCATGAGGTCCCATTTATTGATTGTTACTCTTAGAGCCTGTGCAGTTGGTGTTCTGTTCAGGAAGTTTTCTCCTGTACCAATGAGTTCTAGGGTATTCCCCACTTTTTTTTCTAGCCGATTTAATGTGTCTGGTTTTATGTTGAGGTCTTTGATCCACTTGGACTTCAGTTTTGTGCAAGGTGATAAGTATGGATCTATTTTCATTTTTCTACATGTAGACATCCAGTTGGACCAGCACCATTTGTTGAAGATGCTATCTTTTTTCCATTGTATGGTTTTGGCATCTTTGTCAAAAATCAGGTGTCTGTAAGTGTGTGGGTTTATTTCTGGGTCTTCTGTTTGATTCCATTTATCCACCATTCTGTTTCTATGCCAGTACCATGCAGTTTTTATAACTGTTTCTCTATAGTACAGCTTGAGATCAGGGATGGAGATACCTCCAGAAGATCATTTATTGTAGAGGATTATTTTAGCAATTCTCAGTTTCTTGTTATTCCATACGAAGTTGAGAATTTTTCTTTCCAGGTCTGTAAAGAATTGTGTTGGCAATTTGATGGGAATTGCATTAAATCTGTAGATTGCTTTTGGTAAGATGGCCATTTTTACTATGTAATCCTGCCAAGCCATGAGCATGGGAGATCTTTCCATCTTCTCATATCTTCCTCTAATTCTTTCTTCAGAGACTTGAAATTTTTTTCATACAAGTCTTTGACTTGCTTGGTTAGGGTTACACCAAGGTACTTTATGTCATTTGTGGCTATTGTGTCAAATTGGTTCTTAAGGAATACTTTAGCACTGCACTGAAGGAAACTTTTCACCTTTTAAAATGATTAGAACTGATTTCATATGACAAGTGCTTTGTTTGTTTATGAAAAAGTAAAAAGCAGCATAGTGTTGCAAGCATCATCCTATCCATTCTTTAATACTCTTACTATCCAGCAACTTCTGCATCTCTTTTGATGTCAATAAATATCCCCCACTGTGAGTTTGCCACAATTTATATAGGCAAATTGCTTTCAAGGTTTTATTATAAATAACTATGTTAACCTCTTCTCATTAAAACTGGGAGCTATCCCTAATTCTTTTCTTTAGAATAAAATAAGTCAAAGAACACATGTATATTTTAAAGCATTTGACAAGCACTATAAAGTTGTCCCTCAGAAAGGTTATATTGATTATTGCTGTATGTTTCCATGAACAATGAATTTGCTGACTAAAGAAAATTTTCTCCAAGGCCAACTTAGATTTCGGAGTGTGGTGTGTGTGTGTTACATGGATTGCCAATTGCTTACACTGGAAGATTAGACTGTGCCTCAACTTACTAAAATGTAGTTCTAAACTCACTATGTATACCAGGTTGGCCTAGGACTCAAGCAATCCATGTGCATCTGCTTCTTGACTATTGGGATTAAAGGTATACAGCACCACACCTAGGCCGATACTTCAGTCTTACACAAGTTTTAACACCTATTCTTCATTATCAATGTTAGAGCTATTGTGAGTTTTTTCTTAGTTGATATGTTACTGAGTGTACTTACCTCAATTAACAAGTTCTATCAGGATTTTGGTAACATTTTATTTATTTGTTCTGACACAACAATATTGTGATAAAGAAGCATACCCTGAATGCTTGTTTTGCTGAAATTTCTAGGTTCACCTTTTATTATTAAATAAAAATTTAATGAATATTAAATGATTAATATTAAATATAGTTATTAATAGTTACATAATTAATAATAAGCATTTAGAAGTTGTCTATGGTACTACCATGTCACATCAGAACATACTCTATATTCCAAATTTTAAAACACAGCTGCTTAGCCCCAACAAGGGTTATTTCTTTAGGACCTTAGCCTTTGGCAGACTCCTCAGACATTTGCCACGCATGAGTTTAGTCTGTGCTTAGATCACCCAGGTGCAACAGCAGCAGGACCCTATTACTTCATAGTTCCCTGAAAGTGTCTTCCCATAGCTGCCTCCTCTGTATAGCTCTCTTTCTGCATGCCCCTTCCCCAACCCTGACAGAAGTAGCTCTCCTTACTTATGTCTTTGAGCTCTGATCCGTTCTCTGTTCTCAATAGTTTTTTACTCACTGTGCTGTTTATTCTTTGAAGATGTAAAATATTATTTTTCTGATTTTACCTAGGTTTTACAGTTGTTGTTTTTTTTGTCTTCTTCATAGAAAATGCTGGTCAGAGAAATTTGTCTATCCTTTATAAGTGTTCCTGAAAGAATCACTTGCATACAAAAGCCAAGCTGCCATCTGTTCCAAGTTGGTCTGCTGTGAGATAGGTATAGAAACTGAGTATAAAAGTAGAAATTGCTGTTGCAATTTGACATGGCTTCAGAATCATAATGTATAATGCCATGCTTTCAGCTGAAAATCATCCTTAGGCCAAAGTGATAGAATTGGGCATGGTATATTGTCATCCTTTTCAATATACACACAGACATACCTTGTACTTTATATCTATCAATTATCTATGTTGTTTGATATAAGTTTTGATCCATTTCTTAATTCTTGATTCATATAGACAGAAAGAGTAGTTAAAGTTTTTCGTTCATATTTCAACCACTTTTTGTGATGTATAGTAAATCTCCTTTGGTTTCTTTCT